TCTTTTTATCACTTGCATTGCACGCACACACACACACACACGCACACACACACGCACACACACACACCTGGACTTTTATCTTTGTCAGCACATTGTGAGTGTTTCAGCTCCCTGCTGGGCTGTGAAGCCAGTGTCCCTTCACATGGCAACCCCCTCAGCGGTGCCTGCTTTTATATGTCACACTCACCAGTGCTGGGTTAAACGCGCTGGCACTTCCTGCCAGTGTTTACCCTTGTCTTTCGGGGGTTTTCCCCCCTGAAACTCTTAACTTTTACTCTCAGCTCAGTGGTGGCACAGAAACAATGCCTCCCGATGGCGTCACAGTTGTCCAGGCTGGAGTCAGGACACTCTTTCCTCAGGCATGGACGCCAAGACCTGGCTCTCCATCTCCATCAATCAGCCTGTCCTCCTGAAGCTACGTGGGCAGACTGCTCATCACCTGCCCACCCAACCTTTACTTCTCATTTGCATGGATTTGCATAAAACAAAGACACTGCTATCCCTGCAGAGTCTGCCGTGGTTGAAACCTCTTCCATCGAGGATCGACCAGACCGCCTCACATGCATCCACACTGAGCTCAGCTGGCAGCTTGTCAGGGCGCAACATCAGGGAAGTGTGGCGCGGGGAACTGAGATTTACGAGGCAGACTAAGATAGACACCGTCATGATTTTCCACTTTCATTCATTTAATATCCGTTCTCTTGGCATTGTTTATATTCAACACCCCTTAGCGGGGAGCAGAGGGCACCTATTTCACGGTGATGACGTGGGGAAAACTCAAAGCACTTAAAACACTTAATCTAAAGATGATTTGTCCTTGTCTTCCTGGATGGTTTTTGTCCCACTCCCCCTCTCTTGCAGTTAAGTGGATCTGGAGAAGGGCCAGCTGCTGATCCCATGTCCCTCTTGGACACGATCAAGTAAATAATGGTCAGAACACATTTTGAAACATACATGTGTATAAAGCATACGCAACTTCTCCATTGCCTTTGTTGAGTGTAAAAACTCCAGCGCGGAGACCAAAAATGTTCTAATAAACCAGTCTTCCAGCAAGTTTGTGACATGAACACTAGCACTCTCTCACAAACAACATTTTAGAACTCAGTTAGACAATGGAAGGAAAAGAAACCAAAAAGTTAGTTAAGCTATCCAGCACCATGATCGCCAACTGTATTCAAATTGTCCTTCACTCATATTTTTAATAGATTTCCAGTGGTCTCTAGTACAAATGAATGCCTTTAAGTTCTACTCTGGGGAAAAAAAAGCTCTGCTAAACTTGTTTTAGGAAGATTGTCAGATCAGAGGGAAGCTTCAGCTTCAATCGCAATACTCGCACTGCGCCCTACGGTCTTCTGTGAAGTGCACTTGGAGGAAGTGCGCAGTAAGACTTTGAGTGTGTAACATCCAAAAAGGGTCAATTTTGACCCATATATTGACATGCATAGTGACTGGTCACCTACAGACATAATTCCATTATCTACTAGCAACTTGTTATATATTTGCCATGTTATCAGTTTAAGTGGCCGATATATTTTATTGTAGTGTTAATGCTCCTGTATTGGTAATGAGATTTTGAATTTCACACATTTTGTAACTTTTTTTAAATGTGCCATTAGCATGTTAATAAATACATGCATGAAATTGAAATATTCAGTTTTGTGTTTTAATGAAAGTGTTGTTTGTCAGCAAAATGTGGGAAGGACAGCACAGTTGAATTAGTTTATAGAACTGAATTCAAAAGTTGATTCAACTTACAATATTAAAGCAACTGGCTGCAAACCCTTTTTGAGTTCAGTCAACTTTTTGCAAGTAGAAAGTTGTGCCAACTTTTTATTTTAAGTTTATCTGGCCATTGACTCAACCACTTATTCTAAGTTTAGAGAACTATGTATCTCAATTTTGCCAAACTTATTATCGTTAGTTCAGTAAACTCTTTATTCCTGGTTCTACAAATGTTAAATTTCAATTTGGTTGTATTTATTATTAAAAGTAAGCATAAAATGCACATATAAATTAGGCCAACTTATATATGAGACTTGGCAAAGCAAGCACCTAAAAAGTTGACTGAACTTAAAATTGTATTGCAACTGGTAGCTTTACTTTTTTAAGTTCACTGGACTTTTTTTTTTACAGTGCTGCAGGTGGAGTTGCTATTCTGTCGTTTAACACCCAGAAGATTCTGCAGTGCTTGTTGACAGTCCATGAAGACAAGATTGTCAAACTTATCTCAGACTGCTGGATTCCACACTCTGAATGAAAAGTGAACTTTTACAACTCATTAGTTAAATAATCATTTATAATCGTATGGTTGAATGAATCAGATGTTATATGAAATGTTTGAATAATCTGTGCTTAATTCAGTGAAGTTGAAATGAATATTATTGCTTACAATGATCCATTTATATGTTGTGATCAGTAATGTTTGATTTAACAAGTTAATCATTATCTACACTCATACACAATGTTCATTTGATGCAAATTCAGGTTAAGGCCATTTTACATAAAGTTTAAAGATTCTTTATCCACAGAACAAGAACAGCTTGTATCTAGAAGGTGTGGTTTTCTGGGGGATGTTTGGTAACGCCGATAAACATGTCAAATTCTGATTCGCAGAAATAATAAACTCCAGATTTAAAACTAAAGTGACTGCCCGAGTTAATCAGTTTCGAGCGGAACTCCGAAGTGGCCAATTTGGAACCAGCCTCTTCTGAAACATCTCTTTGACATACAGTCAAAACCTGTTTGCACGCTGCAAGCTGACACAGCCATACGACTCCTTAAGAGTCCATCCGTCTTAGACGCAACAAATCCACCTGTCTGTTGTGACCTGGTCGCATTACAGTTAATCTTCGAACTTCGATGCATTGGGGTTACCCCCCCCCCCCCCCCCCCCAACATCTCGGATCCAAAAGAGGGTCTCCATCAGGGTGCGTGGACACAAGATTGCATCTGATGCCGTTCTATAAAAACTCTATTCTAGTTTATAGCAGACAACAAATTCTTTTACAACCCAGAACTGATAAAAATCTAGTTCACATTCCATCACCACACATACACTCATCACATATCATTGTTTAAAGCTTGTCATGTATTATAATTAGTCTAGAAAATAAAGTTTAATTTTAATTATATAGCTGACTCTGCCTGAATTAATACGAAGTGTGTTTATGGTCCCTGAATAAGCAAAGAGTCCTCAATTATTCTGGTTAAACATTCAAAGATCAATCAGCTTTATATTCTATATTTATATAGATTCATCACATCTTTTTGGTCATAATTAAACCCTCCAATTCACTAGTGTGTAGGACACAAGTGTGCAAATAATTGCTGAATTTGAACAGAGAGCATTGCATCATCCACCGCAATGAATGCTGGGAAGGTGGTCGCTGAGCTACTTTAAATAAACAAATCTTTATTAAATATGTTCCAACAACCAAACAATTATTTGACTAAATCTACATCCGTTGCTGTCCACATTAAATATTTGTCTAAAACAATAAGATCATGAATGAATAAACTAAAATGAATCACATTCATTTGAAAATACATATTTTCACAAAAGGCATTTGAGCTTTGCTTTTGCAGCAATGAACTATGGGTAATAGCATTCGCCAAAGTCTGTATTGATTTAACTTGGGCAAAATGAGGATAAAGGGTTCAAAAGTTGTCTTTGCTCATGTATTTTCTTAATTTATTCAAACATAAAAAAGTATGTGGTGAAGATTTCTAGCCATTTCTCATATTTGTTTTACTAACAAACATTAACATTTCTTGTATAGATTGCCAACGTTCAGTCAGAGTCGTTATTTTCTCTGTAATGTCTGAAGCTATAACATGACAATTTGATATTGACCAAAATAAATAAGCAACAACATAAGTATGTGTGCAGGGCATATGTTTATCTGCCAATAATTTTATATAGGTGAAAAGTAACATTTGGTCTTAAAAATGAATATACCAAACAAACACACACACACACACACACACACATACACGTTTGCTCATTTTCATTTATCATAAGTGAAATCATTAAAAGAACGGTTGAGTTTGGATTACACATCTTGTTCCTTATTCTGCATTGATTTCAACCTCTAAAGCTGATAATTCCCCCTCTCGTCCTTCTGCTCAGCACAAAACAGAAAAAATCTTAATAATTATCATATATTTGAATGTGGTCAACTGGTTTTCCTGTTGATGGAGGATGGCTGGAGAGTGTGTGTCAGACACATATGTACATATATATATATATATATATATATATATATATATATATATATATATATATGTGTGTGTGTGTGTGTGTGTGTGTGTGTGTGTGTGTGTGTGTGTGTGTGTGTGTGTGTGTGTGTGTGTGTGTGTGTGTAGATCTGAATAGAAGAAAATTAATGTTTCTGTCTAGAAAGATAATAAAAGCATAAAGATTCATTCAGAAAATTATTAGACCTTTATAGATAATTTCCTCACTCATTATCAAAAAATTGCATAATGAATTGTAAATGTAGGGTTTACATATATATATATATATATATCCAATCCAATCCAATTTTATTTATAAAGCACATTCAACATGGCATTACAACCAAACAAGGCGCTGTACACCAAAAATGTTAGTGAATTTAAACCACGTTATACAATCATGTCGGACGAACACAGGTAAAAATAAAAAAGAAATACAGTAAAACCCCCAAAACTAACAGCTAAAAATCAATAAGACACAGGGAGATTAAAAATTAGAAAAACATTTTAAGAAGAACCTCAATAGTACGGAAGTTGATATTGTGAATTCCATTTTTAAACAATGTTGATCTAAGTGAGGTTCATAATTATGTGGTATAAGCTAGGTCGAAGTAATGAGTTTTCAAGCGTGATTTAAAAATGCTAGCTGTTGGTGCTTGCCTCACTATATATATATATATATATATATATATATATATATATATCTTTGGTACTTTTAATAAAACTGAGAGACAAAAGTAGGTACATTTAACAGATTGTTTTACCTGAAGGATCCAGGCGTAAGGAGGGGAGAGGGGAGTGAAATCACAGATGGAGGAATTTTCTTGATGACCTGAAAAAAGCAGATAAATAGGAAGTAACTTTTAAGCCTTGATGAACTATAACCAATATTAACACAAAAGGAGCCCATTTTCTTCTCTCTTCTGTCTCCTTTTAATGTGTCAGAATCTGCCTCCATGTTCCATACACATGCAGATTCAGTTCAAACACAAAGCAACAAGCAGATCCATTCTGAGTGAGATTAACTCTCACCTTGTCTGTCTGCTGGAAAACAGTGCATGCATCACAGGAAGCATTCGATGTGAAGGGAAATGTAAAAAATTTGCATGCAAATAGATTCTACCGGCTCATTCCATGCATCAAAACACTTCAAATGCACAAGAAACAAAGAAGATCCAAACACACTGCATGTTATCAAAGAAAATAACGTTAATCTTCGTTTTCTGACTTGACAATTAACTGTTCTAAAAAGTATGCACCTCAAAAACACAGAGGAGGATGAAATAAACTTTGACCACTCAGAAATAAGCATGTTGTTCCATTCAGGGAGAGTTTATATATATATATATATATATATATATATATATATATATATATATATATATATATATATATATATATATATATATATATAAATGTCGCTACACAAATGTAAGCATTAGCTCTTAGCTCCCTGTAGACTGGTGCCAAGCTGGGTTGCTTTAAAACCTTGTGGAAAATGACAGTTGTGGAAATACTTTGCCAGTGCGCTGTAGTGAAGGAAATTTTAAATCATCGGGTTTTCAAATAAATGTCCCATAACTCATGTCTACAGAAGTATACAGAACGTGCAGGAAAGGAGTCGTAATGCTGCGTGATGGTATCAGCGCTGTGCCAAGAGAACACGTCACTGCATCTAAATCACAAAGCAGGCACTGTTTTAATGTCAGCTTTGAAGTAAATTTTTAAAAAGGATCCAGTGCTCAGAATTGATTAGTAGAAACTATTAGAAAGCATCTAATTTAAACATTTGTATAACCTTGGACACGTTTGAAAATGTGTCATTTACGTTGCATGGTTTGCTTGAGGTGTCCAGGATTTATTGCAGCTCACTGCTGTCAGTTTGCAAATTGCTGATCAGTTAGGAAAAGTGGAATAGTCATTCCAAAAAGTAACAAAAAATCAAATTGCATTATTATTTATTGCTTAGTTAAAGCTCTCATTCACTCATTTTTTTCATTTGATGTGGTCTCTGGTATGAATTGATGACTTGTGAGTCATTTTCTGAGGATAAGCTCTGGTGCTCATGTTTCAGGAAGTAGAAGCTAGCTGGAGGAGTGGAGAGAAGAAGAAGAAAAAGGCAGGACTTAGAGTTTCACTCATTAACATTCACAACATGCAAACAACTCGCCCCTGATTGGCTAACAGTAACACAACTCTTCTGCTGCCTTCCTTCGTTTCTGTCTTTGGTAAAAATGCCACATTGATGTTTTATCTCCACAAATAACATAGACTAGAATGTGTTCTGCCATGTTGTGGGTTTGCTAATGCTAACTCTGCTAGATGAAACACGCTCTGCTCTCTCCTGGCTGTAAAAATTAACACAGCCTTCTTTGCTTGCGAGCCAAGATGGACAAGCCTGTTATTACAGTTTCACAGTGTGGCTTATACCTGTGTGGCTTTTTTTGACCAGAGCTTTTCCCTGTCTATTTTATTCCAGTAGCTAAGAAATATACTTCAGGAAATGTGGGTAGAAGGGGTAGCAAACTGTTTTCACATTCAGCCTGTATGTGATACTCAGAGCGACCGATCGTATTTCATAAATAATTAAAATAGGATTATTGGTTCACCTGCTCTTTAAATATCAACAATCTGAATCATAAAGTCAAGTCATCCATTTTTTTATTCTTTTAAAGAATATGCCGTTCCCTCAAAAGCTCATATTGACATAGTCTTTTTTTATTCCTGTGTCACTTATTGTTGTGACATTGTCAGGAAGTTGATGTTGCATTGGTTTAAGTCACAGGCTCTTAGTTTAATGTCTATTTACAGACATATAAAATTACCCCAGCAAGACGCTACCACCTCATTACCAACATAACCGGCAGCCAGTCTTTCAAGGGCATTTCTCTAATGACACCACGTGTTTCCTGCTAACATCTATTTGAAGCAGCATGCTTTCTGCACACAGAACGGACGTCCAGAGAGGGCAAAGTCAACTCTGATGGTTGTCCATATAGAGATCCCTCGTTATGCCTGATTCAATGTTCGATAGGTGATTTCAGAAAAGTCCTGCGCAGTGTAAACTTATTGCAGAGATTTTTTTCTTTCTATTTGTTGCTGCTTTGAATCTGGACACGACAGTCACTGATAGTGTCTGCTGCTTGTCTGGGTGATGTGATTGACACTGATGTTAAATCCTCAGACATCCTGCTGTCTGCATCATGGTCTGTTGATCACAAACCAAACTCTGACACAAAGGTTTGGAACTGATCTTTTGTCTAGAAAAGTAAATCCAATGTCAAAATGTTTATTTAGTTACATATTTGACTGATAACCAATTCATATGTCCAGTGTAAAGACATTGCTGCAAAATAAAAAAGGCAATAGAAAGAAGAAAAAAAAGTTTAATGAGATTAGTGATGTGAAGTTCACAAACGAATCAAATATTTTGTACGGGTTTTCAAAGTGAATGAAGAGAGCCGAGTCCTTGTAGAGAGCCGTTCGCAACAAACCTCCCCAGAAGTCGGTAATGCGCACCCGCTTAAACCCCACCCACCGCTGTGACGGACGTAGGAGGAACCCTAACCAACCCTGTGCACCCTTACGGATACCGCAGGAACACGTTGTTCTTAATACACCCCCCCCCCCCCCCCCCCCGCTCTCTTGGCTTCACTTCGTTCAAAGGAGCTAGTCTTTTGAACGGCTCTTTGAGGTAAACAACCGACTAATGAATGGCTCCCATGAAAGAGCCATACATCCCATCACTAAATGAGGTAGAAAGTTTAAAGGTGTCGGGCATTTGTTTAAACAATTTATTTGCAGTGGTCTCCAGTAGGAATAGGGAGCCTAACCCCGTCTTTCCACAGGAGCCGTCAGCAGCACGTTACTGCAGCAGCACGTCTTGCTCGCGTCAACTGCTGCTTGGCCCTTCCCACGAGACGTGAAGCAGCAGGGGAGCAGCTGTCACCGACCGAGCACGAAGTCACACGAGTGACTTCGTCAGTAAACACAACAACAAGCAGGAGAAAACTACAACATGGTTTGTGTTTTATGTTCTGTCCGTTTTATAATCGCCAATACGGACCTGAAAAACAAAGGAGACCAAGCTAGGTGATAATTCTCACGGGGCCGCACATTTAGTAACGTTTTTTAAAAGTAAAGCAACCAGAACGCAGTACGTTCTTTATTCTGACAATCTCGGGAGCTTCTCTCCATTTCCACGTCTGATTTCCTGTCTTTCCTTCCCCAAAAATGTCGAACTTGACCCGTTTCAGAGGCGTCGCGCGTAGAAAATAGAACCGGCGCGTAAAGGCCACGACATGCTGCTCCTGAGACGCGGCCGACTCGCGCTGCTGACGGCTCCAGTGGAAAAGGTTCTGTTGACCACAGCGGTTCCTATCAGCAGCTATGACGGGCTGCTGCAGTGACGTGCTGCTGACGGCTCCTGTGGAAAGCCGGGGTAAGTCACTCCCAGACCGTGGGTCCCGGAAGAGCAAAAAAATTCATGCAAGTGAAAGGGGCTAAAAATGCTATTTTCTAATTCCACTTGTTTTGTGCCATGGATTTCACATATTATGTCCATGAATTTTAAAGACGCACTTTGATACCAAGAACGTGCTGGGGGGAGGGGGGGGGGGGGAGGGGGGGGACCGAGGGGGAAAATAAGTCCATGACTACAAACGTGCTTCACCAAAGTTACATCATCAAACCAGACATGGAGAAAACTGAGGGAAAATGGCCGTAAGTTCATCAAACTTCCCACAGGAGGAAAGAACCACCATAAATCTGGTCATTTGGTAAGTAGCTACTTTGGGGAGAGGAGATCATGTAGTGATGAGACGATTTCTAGTTTGTAGTCATGCTAATTACGAACTTCTACAAGCTGATGAATCTCAAAGTACGTAACTGGCGTGGTCGAAACACCCATCATTACTTTTCATTTAAAATGAAGTTCAACATATTTGCGATCCAGGGCAGGAGGCAAAGCAGATTAGAAAATAGCTCTTTTAGCCCCATTAACTTGTTTCATTTTTTCATTCTTCCAGCGACACATGATGCGGAAGTAGACTTAGGCTCCCTATGAATGCATTGCAAGTTGTACTCGGGGACGGAGCTCAGATGCGCTTGTTTCAGGAACTAGCGGACTGTCACATCAGAAAAGAGCATAACGCGGCAAAATTTGGAGTCGCACTTTCTGATATTTGGACATCTCGCCTTGGATTGGATAACAGAAATACAACTACTACTGACTTGTAACATGTATATTTTATCTCCACAAATAACACAAGCCTGGAGAAGCTTCTGCTGTGTGGTAGAGTTGCTAATGCTAATGGTTAGCTTCTACAAGTCATGACGTTCTCTGCTGATTCCTGGATTCTGAGCCAACAACAGCCTTCCCCACCATGAGAGAAGATGGGTGAGTGCATGAATGTTAAGTCACAGTGTGACGTAGATCTGCCAGACTTTTCATATCCTAGATTTTCACCATCAATCAGAAGCTAATGTAGGGGATCATTGTAAGAGATTATTTTCATGTTCAGCCTGCATAACAAAATCAGAGTGACTGATTATTATCAGAAATAATCATTAAATAATGGGAGGGGGGGGGGGGGGGGGGGTGTTTCAGTGTCCCAAATCTTTAATGAAAGAAAACATATTTGAAGTGAAAATTTAAATTCTTAAGTTTAGTAAGCCGATACTAGGGCAGAATTTATATACAATCATTTGAAACAATCTGGCCCTGCGCTGTGATATAATGTAGGCAAAACATCAATTTTTATTGCTAAGCGCTGCCCCCATCTCGTACAGCCTCATGCACTGAATTCAGCTATGCTCAGCATTAGCTAATAT